AGAAAAGAAAAGAAAAGAAAAGAAAAGAAAAGAAAAGAAAAGAAAAGAAAAGAAAAGAAAAGAAAAGAAAAGAAAAGAAAAAGACAAGACAAGACAAGACAAGACAAGACAAGACTGTGAGGGTCATATGGCAAAAACATTAAGGGAAACAATAAGAATATCTTTAAATAATCAGTATTTGAAGCAGAAAACTGGCCAGGAGAATTATTCGGTTATTACAAAACTAAGGAATGAAAGGGAGGTTCAAGGAGTATATGGAGACTTCAGAGAAGCTGAATGAATTATTTTCCTCTGTCTTTACTACAGAAAACATAGAACGGATATCTGAGCCTGTACTGACTTTTTCAGGGAAGAAAGAGGAACATGTAAAGGAAATTGAGGTAACAAGAGAATAAATTCTAGGATATACTGGAAAACCACACAGTAACAAATCATCAGATCCTAATAGTATCCACCCAAGAACTTAAAGGCTCAAATGTGGAATTGCTGACCTCCAGGCATATGTAATTTATTCTTCAAATCAGGCTCAGTGCTAGAAGACTGGAAAGTAGCTAACATGGCACCAGTTTTGAAAAGGGACTCAGTGGGAAATTATGGGCTGGCTGGCTTGATATTTCTTCTGGACATATTGGTGGAAACAGAGAAAAAAACAAGCATATAGAGCAATGATTCTCAACTGTGGCAACTTTAAGATGTGTGGACTTCAACTCCCAGAATTCCCTAGCATGCTGGCTGGGGAATTCTGGGAGTTGAAGTTCACACATCTTAATGTTGTCAAGGTTGAGAATCACTGATATAGAGTATCAAACATTGCTGAAGGAAAATCAGCATGGATTTTATAAAGGTAAACCTTATCTGACAAATATTTTTTTGAGACTGTTAACAGACACACAGGTGGAAATGAACCTATCAATAGCATGTCCTTGGACTTTCAGAAGGGGTTTCACAGAGATCATCAAAGACTGCCAAGTAAACTTAGCAGTCATGGAATAAGAGGGATTGTACTTTTATGGACCGTTAACTGGTTAAAAACACAGAAAGCAGATTATTCTTAACAGGCAATTTTCTCCATGAAGAAATGTAAGAAGTGGAGTCCCTAAAGGATTTGTTTTGGAATCTATGATTTTTAACTTGCTCATAAATGATATTGATTTAGGAGTACATAGTGAGCTAGCCAGGTTTTGTGGATTATACAAACATTCAGGAACATAACAACCAAAAGGATCTCCTTATAATGGGAAAATGTCACCCAAAACACATATGGTTCAGTAAGCACTTATCCTCACATCCCCCTAAGAGTGGCATGAACGTGACCCACAAGTTTTTTATGCCATTTCTTTATGCCATTCCCTTATCTCATCCTTATCCCACAGCTGAAGCAGCTTACAGTTGTTCCAGATTCAAAGCAGGAATTGTTTTCCCTGTTCTCCCAATGCCATAGATACAATCTGCCATGCATGCTTCATAATGATATGGCTGCTGATGCAGTCAGAGTGGGAGCAGCCAGCTCCTACTGGCTACTTTAGACCGCTGCAGACAGCTCCTAGACACCATCTTCCATGTGCATCAGGATAGCCCAGACTCCTGGCTTCAACAAAGACATCTGCCTGAGTAATGCTTGACTGGCACTTTCCAAAGTGCTTGTCAGGCCCGCATGTCTGCTCCTTATAAATCCAGATGTGGAGTCCTTGGGGTTCTCTGAGCTTGGTTGTTTTCTTGCAAATGTTTTGTTACCCAGC